GATATTTTCTGCTAACTGAGCCATCTCATCAGCGAACCACTGCATACATTCTGGACCACGGAATGACTTGTAAAAGGATAATGAGTCATCATAGGAGCACTTTAGGTAATATCCTACAGCAGCTGGAATATGGTGTTGAGTCCTTTTAGGATCCTCCTTTGTTGGGGTCAAAACGCTCTCCAAATCCGCATACACTATAAAGGGCGCTCTTTCCTTGTTTTTAAAATTTTTAAATTTCAATATATTTTTCCCGATTTCTGGCATTCTAATAGCTGTTTCATTAATCTTCACGCAATCCTCAAGGTGTTTGTGGAGCTTTTCTTGCGATCTGAAATAGTGCAGACAGCGATCGCAGATGTGTTTTTTCCCATCATGCTTACTCAATTGTGAGGATACTAATTTTGATAAATTTTTAATCCACACATAATGATACTTCACAGATAAAGAGTCTTCATTCTCCTCAAAATATTGATCTTGAACAAGCAGGAGGTTTACGTGCTTCTCCTGTTTGTTTTTTGTTAGCAATGCAGGCTGGACTTTGAAGCTTTTCTTAGATTTTCCTAGTTTGTAAACATTTATGGACAAACCATTCTGTCGTTCAAAATTGGAAATCTGCTTTAAAGTCATGGGGAATTGAATGCCTTTCAACTTCAACACATCTTTAGGATCTGGATACGATGACGGTCTTTTCGCAAATTCGGAGCTTGCAGGATACAGAGCAGACACTATGGCCCATGCAAAACATCTGTTATCGGTGTTCTGCACGTTTACACAGGCATGCCTCGCAGCTATTTGAGAAGGTAGTTCTACGTATGAAGATCCTAGTTGTGGCGTGAATTTGTTAATGTTGATGCCCAAATTAACAATTTTCTTCAAGGCCCAACCACTGTCACGTTCTTGGAATTCCTCCATTTCGTGCATAATGGGTTCAGCAACTTTTTCATTAAACCATTGCCCAAGATTAGTATTTCGGTAGATGGGCGAGTTAGACGTTGTGAAATACTTAAATTCTTTTAGTACTTTATCACCTTTGACGATCTCGAATTCCCCACAAAATACTGCATTAACTTTGATGGCTTCATCCTTTTTAAGACCATTCTGGATCCTGCGTTTGAACAATGCAGCACAATCAACCAAGAATGCTTTTGGCTCTTTGTGTTTCAAATTTGAGATAACTCCAGTCCTTATCCTGCTGCTAAACGCTGAAACTGAATCATCCCAATGCACTCGCTCTCTTGCTCCTTCAGGACGTGGTGAAAGTCCTGCCCCTTTCTTTTGCATATTCTTGAACTGCTTCCTCATACTTCTTATATTCCGCAGACATGACTCTAAGTGTTGCTTTTCACCCATGGATGCTGCTTGTTTCATCGATTTGTTGAGCTTTCTTACTCCTCGAGTACATTCCTCCAGTCCTTCTTTAGCGATGATATCATTATATTTTGGTGTAAGTAGCCCCAGGAGAGAGGCTATATGTTTCACTAAATCTGCGAAGAGGGACATCTTCTAATTACTATTATTTTTCACAAACGTATAGATCAGTATAGGCGAACTAGCTTTGCGCGTCTTCACTCATTGAGAAACTGCAAACTAATGAATGGGGACAGAGAACTGGACGGTTTTATATCACAGTGACCCCCCCCCCCCCCCCTTCTACCCCACCCACGACTATCAGATTTTTGAAAAGGATTTTCATAAGAACCAATGGAAACATGAAGCAAATATGGGTTTCCAGCTATTTTGAGCTCTTTTTTTTTGTATTCGTATGGTTGAGATTACACGCTCGCTCGATGTCATCTGGAACTGTATAGAAAGGTCTCTCAACTCTTAGATTTTTTTTGACAGAAATTTTGCATACTCTTTATTCAGACCTAAGCTATTGTTAAATGTTATCCTCTCTGCTGTTTTGTGTTCAGGACTTTCGATACTTACATTCCAATACATTATTGTGGATATTTATGGTAAACGAATTAAATTGGACCACTAGAAAGTGGATTGATTGAAAAAACTGGTTACGGCCCTGTTGGCTTATGCTAAATGGCTGGAACTAGTCTTCAATGATGCCGCTAATTATTTAGAAGTTTTTGGTGAAAGAGCAAATTAAATCGAAAAAACTGATTACAGCCCTTTTGGCGTATGCTAAATGGTTGGAACTAGTCTTCAAAGACGCCACTAATTATCTAGAAATGTTTGGTAAAAAAAAACTAATAAAATCGAACCAATAGAACCTGAATTAATCGAGAAAAATTGATTACGGCCCTTAATTAATTGAAAAAATAGAATAAGGCCCTTTTGGCACATGCTAAACGAGTAGAACTAGTCTTCAAATAGGCCAATAATTATTTAGAAATTTTTAGAAAAAGAATAAATTGAATCGAGTCGATAGAACGTTAATTAATTGAAAAAATAGAATACGGCCCTTTTGGCATATGCTAAACGGGTGAAACTGGTCTTCAAATACGCGACTAATTATTTGAAAATTTTTGGTAAAAGAACGAATTAAATCGGATCGCTAGAACACGAAATAATTGAAAAAATAGAATAAGGCCCTAACGACATGTGCGCAGATGATCAAAATCCGGTTTTCGGACATTCCCCTAATAGTTAGGGTTGCGCACACCCCGGAAAAAGCAGCCTCGCTGTCCCCGCCTAAAAAGAGTTATGGTATAGTTAGGTACTTTTTAAAATTTTTGATATCACCCTTTTTTGGCCCTAAGGGTTGTTAGTTGGGTAATAGATAATGTCCAACTTGACTGAAAGTATTATGGGGTTATGGGCTGGATTGTTTTTAAATATATTATTAAACATATATGTAGTTAGTCGGCAGTGTAAATATCCATGCATGTTTATCATCGATAAAATATAAATGCAAGTTTGAGCTTGTTGTTTTTGCTAGAACGGAAACGCTTATCAGTTATAAGTAAAAATAACCGTGAAATATGATACCCCTGTTTACAACACAACGACATTGAACGTCGGCGGCGTGCTGATTTATGAATTTATTTTATTTACCACTACGGCATCCTGTAAAAGGACACAACGAACTTCAGACTATGTACGCTAGATGGCGCCACCGATAACATAATGACGTCGAAAAATTTGGGGTTGGCCCCGGGTCAAATCCCAGTAATTTCAGATCAAAGGCGCCGCCGATCTATAGATTTTCCCACGGTATCGAAAATTTTCCCAGGCTCAGGTCCCCTCATTACTACTATACCATTTTTAGTCAACTGATACTGCATTGATGAAAATATTCACATATATGTCTATGACGTAACGCCTGCTCTTATCATTGTCGCAGGTTTAATTGTTTACTCTGAATGAAAATAGTTTATCAGTATTGCGGCTGGACGGCTCAAGCAGTGTAATTTCCTATGCGACGCGTTTGCCTTATTTTTGTTTTTGTTGGTGAACGTGTTAATATAATTTAGCAATATATTGATGATAGGTAATGAATATTTGGAGCAAAAATACCAGGAAAATCCTTATGAGGAAAACTTGAGACGGAATTATTTTTGTAGAGAAATATTTGTATAAATGAGTCATGGGTCTAAGTCATGTTGACAATAAAAGTGACTCGAACTAGCGGCGATTTTGATCCGAATACGGGCTAAAACGTTGTATCAATATGATGTAAATAAAATAATGTTGTCGCTGGTTTCTTATTTTGAGACGAGAGACCTGAGCTTTCTGATTGGTTAGAGACTTGTTAGGACTTGCTTATCGCAGGATGCCAACGTAATAAGCAACAGTAAAATTGAAACGATGGCCCATATTTCTAGGAAAAGTTCGCTGGAGTGTGCAGGTGGATACGAAGCTGGTGATTGGCTACAGACTAGTCAGAGCTTGTTTATCGCAGGTCACAGGAAAGTTACAAGTTATGGTTTCGCTGCGGTTGCAATAAATGTTGACGACCCGATGGCGAAACGACGTTTTTATTTTTAGTGACGTCATCAGCAAACCCGATGGCTAAACAACATTTTTATTATTAGTTACGTCATCATCAGACCCGATGGCGAAACGACGTTTTATTATTAGTTACGTCATCATCAGTACAATGCACCTTGAATGAGGTACCAAGTCACGAGCTGCTATGTGTGTTCGATGAGCCGCTTGGAGCCAGGTACGGTCAATGACCCCGAACGCAGCGGCGGCTGACCAGTTAGTGCGACCGATGAAAGACATGGGCACTGAAAAGGGGGCGGGGCTTAGCGGCAACGACTGCTGGCGGGCTGGACGGATGACCTTGAACGGTACAAAAATTGCCAGAATGGACCTTAGATTTTCTTATGGAGATTTACATGGGAAAATGACTGATTTTGCTGTAGAACTGTCCTAGCCCCTTTACTATCCCTAATAAAAAAATATCTCTAAATCAGTTGCTCAAAAAATAGAAAATATTTCTAGTTATAATACAAAGGTTTCAAAAAATTCGGAGTTTGACTTTAGTGACGTTCCGTCGGGATTGTTACGGTCGGGCCAAATGCTTTCGGTACGAATACGTGTCGGTTCAAATAAGCATTAACATATATTATCCGTTCACAATCCGTTGTCCACTGGTACCGGTTAAATTTATCACCTTTCAATGCTATTTGATAGGGAAAGGTGATAAAAGTACCTGCAACTGTGGACATCGGATTGTGAACAGACGCAAAACGCACCTTTATTTATAATGGCTATAGATGGTTGTTTATCAGATGGCGCTAAATGATGTAGTATGTTCATTAAATGATAAGTTAAATAATAGAAGAAAGTTGCATACTAATTCATCCCCTAAGCTAAAAAACGACAAAAGAAGTTGAAGTGAAAGAACATAGTTAATCACGCTCTAACTTTGTGCCTAGTAAAATCTCTAGTTCATAATAATTGAATAATAAAACACAAAAAGCAATTGCACAATAACAATGCAACATCTGATAAAAGACTGTTCTCTTCATTAACTTATTATATTAATTTAGTGATATTAACAATTTATTTACCTTTGACAATAATACATATTTCAGTCACACAAAAGGAAGCAGACGACTATAAACATCAAGTATACGTTCTGGAAAATGAGCACATAAAATTCAAATCGATCATAATGACACTGGAAAAAGATATCATTGATATCAAAAAGGAAATATTGGAAAGAGACAGCACAATAGAAGATAAGGAGAAAAGAATATTTCAACTCAAAAGCAAAAATCAAGAACTAGAGAAATTTAAATTTATTTTGGATTTTAAGGTGCGTATATTTACTGGTCCCACTCCTATTTTCTCCCATCAGTCTAAAATTTCGATGATTTTTATTTAGATCAAAGAATTAAAATCTCAAATAGAACCCAGAGAACGGACAATTCAAGAACAAGTTACGCAAATTAATGAAATGGTGCGCGAGCTAGAGAATTTGCAAAAGGTTATCCTAAACTTGGATACCCAGATGGCGGAAGGCCGAGCCAAGTTAGCGGCGGCGGTGAACGAGGTGCGAAAAGAGGTAGAGAAAAATCGTGTTATGAAAAAGGCGCTTCAGGCTATCAGAATGGATATACATCATGCCAGTGGATTTATCCAGAATGTGCCCATGTTACAGAAAGTTGTTAAGGTAATTCGATTGAATCTTATCCTAAGTGACAAAATATCTACAGGTGGTTTTTGTATAAAGGTACGGTTTCACTATCCGCACTCCGCAGCGACTGGCAGTGTGGTTAGAGAGTGTTTTCATGTCAGAATGGTATTTTCGCAGTCTTGTATATCGACGTGTAAAGAGATGTATAAAAGTTTATTAGCTCTTTTATTGCACACAAAACCATTCCTTAAGAATTGTAATGACCCGGGAAAAATAGACCCGTAATTACAATGTCATAACAGTAAAAATAAAATGTAATCAAATAATCAAAATTTGAATCTCCAATAATTCACATCAGTATCAATAAATTGAAGATGATACAAATTAGCGTTGACCCCAAATTAATTAAAATATTCATAAAAATATTAAAATCTAGGCAAAAGTAATTAAATTGGTGATTTATGGCTCGACACGAGTATCGGCATCCTTTGATTTATCGATTTATATGTCCCCACATTCCTAAACCAAATCTGTTGACTCTGATAATCCAGGAAATTGCCACATAATCATTCGATTTTAAATAAATAAATATATTTCTTAGAAGAAAAGAACGGTTAATGGATTGACTTGACCCGGAATATTTTTGGGGAATAAAAAATATAAAAACTGCGGTTACGGCAGGGCCGCCGCTAGGGTGTTAGCTGCCTGTGTGCCAAGACAATTTTCGCCGCCTCCTGACTCCCAGTACAAAATTTTAACGTATGAAGACCTTAGTAGAGACGCAGAAAGGACCACACAAAAGAGAAACGCGCATATGTAGGGACGTCACAAAGGTATCGGCGCTTGACAATAATAGTTTATAATCCTTGGTTTGTGCGTCAATCGTTCGTCGGCTGTCATTGTCATTGGCTGTCTCTCTCCGTCCCTCTACGTTTTTTTTTCTCTCTCGTGTAACGAAATTTGCCAAAACATGACGCGTCTTTGAGATCACTCTCCATTCTAGTCCAAATATCAGACCGTCGCCTGAGAAGTTTCACTTCAAAAAATCGAGTTTTCATAAGGGTACCCCCTTTGAATTCTGATTTCAAAATCTTTAAACTTTGATTGCTCGGTAACCGTTGAGCAAATTACATTGAAATTTTCAGAATTTGTAGCTCTTATTAGGCTCTAAATGGCCTGTAATTTACAATATTCTCAGATTTATAGTTTTTGAGCAAATTGAGTTTGAAGTATTTGACAAAATTTGGACTCTAAATGTCAACTTTGAGGCTCAAAAACTATTTGAGCTAGCTATCGATCTCAATTTTGCACAGATTTATGGAGAATAATACTCTTTCTCTAATGGTGTATAATGTATTCCAATTTATTGGAAATTTAACAAAGATATGGACAATTATTCATGATTAAGTCAAGATTTTGAAAATTTTCCAGAGCCAAAAATAGGATTTTCTTTTGCTTTTTGTTCCTGCTTAAAATAAACATTTGGAATTGATGTCAAGGTTGTTTTACACTAATTTTGACCCGCTTTATCGATTGGTAAAGTCAAAATTGAGCAAAACTGAAAAATAAAAAAATCGAGTTTTTCTTTTCTTGAATTCTGATTTTAAAATATTCATACCGCAATTGCTTGGTAACCGTCGAGCAAATTGCATTGAAATTTTTAGCATCATTAACTCTTATTGATCTCTAAATGGCCTGTAATTAACAATATTTTCAGATTATTGAGCAAATTGAGTTTGAAGTTTTTGAAAAAATTTGGACTAGAAGTCAACTTTGAGCTTCAATTGCTCAAGAACTGTCTGAGCTATCAAACCCATAGAGAATTTAATGCTCTTTCCAATGATATATAAATTATTTCAATTTGCTCGAAATTTAACTCAACTCAACTCAAATTCTTTATTTAAACAATTACATGTCATACATTTCAGGTAGGGGGGTTAGGCCCCCCCTCGAACTAAAAAACATACAACATTAACTTAATACTAGGATAGGACTACTTAAACTACACTCAGCATGGCGCAGCATGCTGTTGCCACATGCGCGCCTGGCGCGCTTTGTGGCATGGCGTTGTCTGCCGATGTTTTGGCAATAGAGCCTCGTTCCTATCTTTGCTCGAAACCTGTTCTCAACAATCGAAATTTAACAAAGATATGGGCAATTTAGGTAGAATTCCATTTAAATTATGGGAAATGTTGAAGAAATTATGCGAAATTTTATTGGAATTGTGTGAAATTTGATAGAAAATTATGCGAAAATATATTGTAATTTGCAGGCAGGTATGACATGGAATTCCATTTAAGTTCAATAAAATATCTGAGCGAGTATCTGAGAAATGACAACAAATTTCAAAAAAAAAAATATATACCTATAAATTTTAGCAAAATTACATAGAATTCTATAGGAATTTTGCAAAATTCTATAGAAATTATGTGAATTTTCAGTAAAATTAAATGGAATTAAATGAAATTCCGTAAAAAATATGCAAAATTTTATTGAAATTATGCTGAATTCCATAGAAAAAAAAATGTTTAATTTAAAAAAAAAACACATAGATTTCTATAGCAATTATGCAAAATTCCATAAAAATTATGCGAAAATTCAGTGAAATTAAATGGAATTCTGAGAAAATGGCGTGGAATTCCAAAAAAATCGTTGTGTCAATTGAATTACATAAAAACCCATAGAAATTATGTGGAATTCCATAAAAAATGTGCAAAATTCCATAAAAATTATGCGAAAGCTTGTAGAAACTATGAGGAATTTCATTGAAATTATGCTGGATACCATGGAAATGATGCCGACGTAGAATTCCAAAAAAAAAGTTGAGTTTCAAAAAAATCAAACTCCCATAAAAATTATGTAAATTTAAATTGTATGGAATTCCATAAAAATTATGCGAAATTTCATAGAAACTACCTATGCAAAAGTCGAAAGAATTTCTGCGGAATTCTAAAGAAAATATGCAATATTCTATAAAAACTATGCAAACTACTGAAATTATTACGTGAAAATTATGCGGATTTTCATAAAAATTGTGTGCAATTAAATAAAGTTCCAGTAAAATTTATTAAAATTCCAGGAATTCGACGTAGAACTCCAAACAAAAATATGTGGAATTTCTGTGGAATTCGGGTAAAATTATGAAATTCCGATGAAATTCCAATAATTTTCCTGGAATTCCAAGTGATTTGTCCAAAATGTTTAATTATGCTCGTGAAATTCCAAAAAAAAATATGATATTATTTAAAATTCCAGTGAATTTACGAGGAATTCCTGTGAAATTTCTTGCAATTACAGGAAATTTCCTTGAAATCACATGGATTTTTAGTAGAATTCCAGAGAATTCTTATGGAATTACGAAGAATTCTGGTGTACAACTTTTTTTTTTAAATAAAAAAAAAAAATCCAGTACATTTCAGAGACCTTGACACCGTCGTTACGGTAACGCTGAATTTTACCTTATACTTCAAAATTCAGGCAAATTTTTATTAATCAAATAATCATAATTATTGAAATTTGAAATAACTAAGTAATAAGTGATAAGCTACTAACAACTTACTCAAATATCAAAAATCTTGTGAAATTATTTGGGATTTCAGTGGAATTACGTGGAATTCCGATGAAATTCCATCAATTTTCCTAGAATTTTAGAAAATTCCTGTAAAAATTACATGAAATTCTCGTGAAATTTTAAATAATTCTTGTGAAATTATTTGGAAGTTCAGTGAAATTCCAGTAAAATTATGTGGAATTTCGAAAAAATTCCAATGAAATTCCATCTATTTTCCGGAAATTCAACGTAATTCTCCCGAAGTTCCAAGTTATTCTGGTAAAATTTTAAAAAATTTCCGCAAAAACGACATAAAATTTTCATGCAACTTTAAAAAATTCTTGTGAAATTATTTAGAATTATAGTGGAATTAAGTGATACTGCGCAAGAATTACGACGAAATTTTCCGAGTATTCGACTCAATGCCTCTGGAATTTTGAGTTATTCTCGTGAAATTCCAGAAAATTCCTATGAAATTCTAAAATATTTACCTAAAATTACGTGGATTTTTCGCTAAATTTCAACAAAAAATCCTGTAAAAATTACATGGAAAATTCCAAAAAAAATTCCTTAAAGTTACTGGTAATTTCAGTTTGAAGAATTTCTTTGGTATCACTTGGAATTCTCGTAAAATTGAAAGAAAAAATCGCAAAAATTTCCGTAAATTACATAATTGTGAAATTATTTAATTTTTTTATTGGATTCCGAAGAATTCTCGTGAAATTACATGGAATTCCCGTGGAATAATACAAAATTTAGGTGAAATTCTGAATATGAAATTCTCATGAAATTCCGAAAAGTTCTTGTGAAATTACCTAATACTTTAGCAATATTCCTGTAGAGTAAATCGGAATTTTAGTGGAATTTGAAAAAAAAATGTGACATTTTAGAAAATTTCTTTATTGGTGCTTGGAATTCCCGTGAAATTAAAAAAAAAACCCTTCCTATGGAATAACTAGAAATTCCATAAAATTTACATGAAATAATGTACTTGAAATTTCATTGAAATTTCGATAAAATCCTGTAAAATTTGTCGAAATTCCAGTAAATTCTTCTAAAATTTCTTAGGTAATTTTACTGAATAAAATTACTTGAACTTCTGAAATTATTTGGAATTCTAGCAAAATTTGAAGAAATTCCTGTGAAATAAATCCAAATTCTCGTGAAATTCCATAAAATTCACAAGAAACTACTTAAAAAATCGTATAAATAATTATGAAAATCCAAAAAAAAAAATCGTGAAATTCTTTTTAAATTTCAGCAAAATTCCAAGGATTTTTTATGAAATAACTCAGAATTTCAGTGGAATTCCAAAAAAATTTACGTGAAATAACCTGAAGTACTCATGAACTATGAAAAAGTAGTTTGTGAAATTACATGGAATTCCAAAAAATTCCTGTGGTGTGGAATTCCGAAGAATTTTCAGGAAATTCTGGTGTGCGATTTATGAACATTCTATGAACATTTGGAACATTCTATAATAAGAATTTCAGTGGAATTCTGAAAATTTTTTGTAAAATTACACGAAATTCTCATGAAATATTAGAAAATTCCTATGAACATTCCTGAAGCATTCTACGAACATTCTATAAACATTCCCCGAATATTTTTCAAAAATTTTCCAAAAAAAAAAACATGTCGAAATATCCTGAAACTTTCTATAAACATTCTTGGAACATTTTATAAACATTTCTAAAATATTCATTGCAAATTTTTCAAAAAAAAAAAAAACATGTTGAAACATTTCTGGAACCTTTTTGAAACATTTTATAAACATTCCTAAAATAGACGAATTATTTCTGAAACATATTGCAATATTTTCGTCTTGATGGGACATTCTACGAACATTCCATAAACATTCCTGGAAAACTACCCCCTTTGAATTCTAATTTCAAAATATTCTAACCTCAATTTCTCGGCAACCGTTGAGCAAATTGCATTGGAATTTCCAGCATTTGTAACTCTTATTAGACTCTAAATGGTCTGTAATTTACAATATTACCAGATTTATAGTTTTTGAGCAAATTCAGTTTGAAGTTTTTGACAAAATTTGGACTAAAAGTCAACTTTGAGGCTCAAATGTTCAAAAACTATTTGAGCTATCAAACTCAATTTTGCACGGATTTATAGAGAATTTAATGTTCTTTCCAATGGTATATAATTTATTTAATTTGCTTGAAATTAAACAAAGATATGGGTTTGATGGGTTTATTTGTTTGAGAGGTTTATTTTCGATAAATGGGTATGATTTATTTTGAAGTGAAAAGTTCTTAGGCGGCGATCTGATAATAGGGTACTTGCATGGAAAATTAAATTGATTATTGTTTATTGCAAACTGTAGGAAATCGAAAAAAAATCGTTACCTATTTTTTATTTCGCCCAAATATGATTATTCCGGAAATTATACAAATATTAAGTTTTGTATATATAGATATACTGAGCATGTACGACGTCACTAATTTATATGATAAGTGACGTCATAGGCATATTTCATAGCGTTGTATCTCCGTCAATTTTTGACTAAGGCCGGAGTTACCCAATTCCTTAATTCTTAATATTTGTCCTTAATTCTTAATTCTTAAAAAGTTCAATTTATTTAACATTGGGGTTTTTAAAGATTAAGAATTAAGAACAAAAATTAAGAATTAAGGAATTGGATAACTCAGGCCTAAGAAGAAAAAGGAAAAACACGCGTTGACTTTTTTTTCATGGACTATCGAAATCAGCAATAAAAAAATTTGATGCAAGGGGCCTATTGGACGAGATGGAGAGTGATTTGGAAGACGCGTCACGTTTTGGGAAATTTCGTTACACGATCGAGAGGAAGAAATATATAACCTAAAGAGACGGAGAAAAACAGCTAATGATAATGACAACCGACGAACAATTAACACAAACCAAGGATTATAAGCAAGGAGGATTGCCTATTATTTTCAAGCGCCGATACCCTTGTGACGTCACTACAGATGCGTGATCCCCTTTTGTGTTTTTCCCGTCTTTACCCCGACTCAGACGCTGTCTAAACGCTCTATGAGGGGGATAGTTTTTAAGAAGTTTCACCTCTACTACGTGTATGGCGTTGCACATGATTTTTTTTGCATTAGGATCGGCGACGGCAACCTCTTTCAATCGGCCGCCTGTGTGTTTTGAACACACCACACACATGGTAGCGGCGGCCCTGGGTCACGGAATTTTGGAATCAGTTTAAGCTTAGTCTTCACATCAGTTTAGTTGAGTCTTCAGTTCATTCTTGAGTTTAAGTCTACAGTACCTAATGAGTCAGTCCGGATAAAATTCGCGAAGAGTTTCTTTTATTTTGTTGCCTCGAGAAAACGCGTTAAGTCAACTCTTTCAAAAAGTAACGGAAAAATTGTAAAAGAAAGTCCATTTAAATTCGTTCAACATTATGTGCGAGCTCTAAGTAATCAAAAGAATTAAATTAGAATAGTTTAGTGAATTCAAAGGTACGGTTTGTTAGGATAGTATGCGACGCACAACTGACAACGTAAACGTCGTCATTGGTTCAGGTATGACGTACACCCGTTTTTTTACGTCAGCGTCAGCGTCAGAAAACGGATGTACGTCATACCTGAACCAATGGCGACGCTTACATTGTCAGTTGTGCGTCGCGTCCTATCCTAACAAACCGCACCTTAAGGACGAAATGTAAGTACTCCAGTGACAAGTTTTATTTTGACTTTATCAATGTTGAAATGACTATGAAGTGAATTGACTATGAAACTTTATTGCATAAATATTATTAACTTGAGTGAACTTAACTTTTGTCTCCTCAAGATCGATTTCTAAAATAACAGTTTTTGAGCAAAAAACTCTCTCAGTAGGTACCAAAATATTTTTGCAAAACAACTTTAGGAATGCTATTTTTTAACAGCTAAATATTTCCCTGTTTACAGGAAATGTATCACAAGTACAACGCCGACAAAGATTTCGAAGTCAGTCAAGCTGAAGATACAGAAGCCAAAAGTGAATTCTTGCGACAGAGAGATTTTCTGGAACGTACGGTTTCTACTTTGCACGCACAAGTAAGAAACCATGGGTTTTCCAACAGTTTTCTCCTTATCGATTCAATTATTTTTTAGGCAACCAAAAGTAGCAGTACACTGAGTTTCGATAAAGTGAGATTGGTTGAAGAAAATGCTGCTTTACTAGTCGAGACGAATCAACTGCGCAAAAACCTACAGGTTGAAATTAATCAGAACAAAAAACTTAATTCTATTATTGGAATGTCTTACGTTACACCCAAACTTGCACAGAAAAAAGTAAACCTGGCAATATCGACTAAAGAAGAAATTCATAACAAATACAGGAACACTATTACTGTAAGTTTTGTTTGTATCCTATTATACATGTTGTAACTTATATAACAGTTCTTGAAAGTAATTTATAGAACGTCTTTTTTAATACAAATTCGATTTTCTTCTAGAAAAACGAAGCAGCCATAGAATCATTGGTCCAGGAAAACGAAAGGCTGTTGAACATAATCGCAGAGAATGTAGAAAGGGCTGAAGCAGAAGCTGATGAGGAAGGGCAAAATTCTAGAGATTGTTCGCTGATGCCACTTTTACAAAAAAAAATGACATAATCAAGTCTATGTTGTATCTATTTAAATAAATTTATACCTAATTTATTTGAGAAACATAGTTTGAACATTTTTGGATCAATCTCGTATTAGGCCAGGGCAGTTAGCCTTTAGGAGAAGTTTTTGCAATCAAGCTGATTTTTTCACAGATGATAGTACCCATCAAAAGTACTCTGTAAAAAAAAGTTACACCTCCTAGGAGGCTTGCTTTTTCCGCCATGATGAATTGAAGATGGCGGCTGGTACTCTCGAAAAAAATCGTTACTTTCTTATTTATTAACCGATTTTCGTCAAGTAAAAAAAGTACCTTTGTTTTGGACTAAAGAATGAAATAAAAATATAAAACCATTTTGACAGGTAGTATTTCTGTCAAAAAAAAAATATATAGGAAAATTAATTGAATTAGTTTTCTTCAATTTTCTTTGAACCGTAGCTGTAAACTTAGACCGTAGGTACTTCTTACGAAAAGAAGCTTAAAAATATGCGCTTTTTTTTTAAATTTTGAAACAGTTTTTGAGTTTGTGATAGGTTAAGTAATTCGCGAGATATAGTCGGAAAGAAATTGAGAATCCAAAAAAAAAAAAAAACTTATGTAGGATGTGACAATTCTATTTTTTGTATATACGCGCCTAAAAATAGCTATTTTTTGAACTCATTTCAGTCCGTAAATCTTCATTTCTGGCCTACACCGTAAAATTCTCCATTTTCGGCCTAGTTTCTAAAAGTCGTCATAGCAACCCTATCGCACCTGCATAATAAGTTTAAAATATTTAATGTTGTCACATTCACTTCACATCTTTGAAGTATTACAAAAAAGTATTGTTTGTTTCACGTACCTAAAATAGAGATTTTTTTAGGTTCCTATAGTCCAACAAATACCATTTTAAAGTCACGTGATTTTTCTCTATCCTTGTTGAATACACCTCAAACAGCGGTGATAGTAAAATTGACGAAAAAATTGCTGTCTAATTATTGTTCATAATATTCTTACCTGAAATAGAATCCGTCACTGTTATCAATTAGTGTGTCAAAGTTATTTTCGAAAATAATACAACAAACAAACACAGCTAATAATTTTGACCATATTAACCTTTTTCCAACTCGAAAAAAAGCAAACAGAAAACGGGTACCCAGTTTAGGTTCAGAATGTATTACAAGAAACAGCGGATGTGACAAAAATGAGTCTCGCAACAATTGCAAGTATTAAAATTGCCCTCTGATTGGTCAATACTACTTCAGAAACGCGTTTGTAAAATGCTAGTGGGAACATATATTAAAATTCAATAGTAATTAACCACCAATAGCTTTTTGTAGGTGATATCAATGACATAATCAATGGACATAAGTTTTTTGCCACCAGTATCACGTGACTTTAAAATGGTATTTGTCGGACTTTACCTACTTGTTACAAAATAGTTATTTGTGTACCAAGGCCGTAAAGTTGATCTTTTTCCAAAAAAGATCATTCGGCCGAGGTGCACACAAAATTTTTTAGGCGAGTGTTTGTTCTTGAAAAAAGAATAAAATTCAACAGTAGCTTTAAACTTTATTGATCAAATAAATAATCCAGCAAAGATAGGTAGATACACAATTATTAATAACAAAAACTACGGTAAACAGAGTGTGATTATAGAAAAAATTGTTTATTTTCACCAAAGTATCAATCAATCAATCAATTCTTTATTGTTTAAAAAGAATATACATTCTTATAACAGTAGGTTCTGCACAATAATAAACTTAATCTAAGTAATGCTACATTTCTCATACTTATAAGCTACACGTTTAAATATGTAAACCCAAATTTGAAATTGAAAAAGAACAAAAAATAATACTCTATAATAATTCAGGTACGAGGAGAATAGGAAGATAAAATTAAAATCTAAAGAATAGGTCTATTCATTTCTTAAGAACGATCTAAGTTTAAGAGTACTAGTAACGGTTTGGAAAATAACCCTCACCAGTTGAGGGTTTAGATTGTCCAAATTATGAGCAAAATTCGGTATATCACCCCAATCTGCCGGCCTAACAATACGATATAAAGGACATTCAAAGAGAACGTGAAGAAATGTTTCAGGCACTCTTAGGTTACAAACCGAACAGAGTTCTTCTTGATTAATTCTATAAGCTATGCCATTCCATAATATATTGCAGTTATAACTCGAACAAAGTCGTATTTGTGTAATAACTCTGATCATGTAAAAAGCACAGTCAGAATAAAGGTACTTCAACGAATGCTTATTTAAATCAATGGACATACGTTTTTTGCCACCAGTATCACGTGACTTTAAAATGGTATTTGTCGGACTTTACCTACTTGTTACAAAATAGTTATTTGTGTACCAAGGCCGTAAAGTTGATCTTTTTCCAAAAAAGATCATTCGGCCGAGGTGCACACAAAATTTTTTAGGCGAGTGTTTGTTCTTGAAAAAAGAATAAAATTCAACAGTAGCTTTAAACTTTATTGATCAAATAAATAATCCAGCAAAGATAGGTAGATACACAATTATTAATAACAAAAACTACGGTAAACAGAGTGTGATTATAGAAAAAATTGTTTATTTTCACCAAAGTAGCGGCCGTAAAGTAAAAGCGGCCGTGAAGTAAAAGCGGCCGTGAAGTAAAAGCGGCCGTGAAGTAAAAGCGGCCGTAAAGTAATAAAGCAAATGCGGCCGTGAAGTGAATGCGGCCGTAAAGTAAATGCGGCCAAAAAAGATATACTTTAGGGATGATATTAAATCCGTAAAACTAATCTTTTTGTGACAGTCGCCTAAAAAATACATATCTTAGCTCGATTGACATAAAAACAGTTGCCTTTGGTTTTAGTTGAATTTTTTTTTCTACTACCGCGCGTGAAGTACTTACTTTACGCACTGTTCAAAAGACGTGAAAATAGATTTTACGCACTATTGCGTAAAGTAATTCACAACAGCAAAAAAGTTTATTAAGGGCCGATATTATATAACTATTTTGACAGATACCTAACTAAAAATTAACTTCTGAAATAACCATGGAGAAGTAACGTCATTCGAGAAGTTAACTTTTAGTTATTCTGTTAAAATAGTTTTATAATACCCGTCCTAGATTGCATTAGTTTTTTCGCAAAAATACATAAATAATAAATACCCACAAGTATGAAATTTTATATCACAAAAACCTTTGTTGCCCTTTTGCTGCACTAAAAATGTGCTTTTACTTTACACCCTGTGAACTAAGTTAGACACTAGGACGTAAAGTTGTGGTAGGTACCTACATTTTTTTCAAATGTATGGCTTTAAATTGTCGGTACTAGAGTTTTTTTGGTATAAAACATAAACAGATGTCTGAAGTGAACCTTTTTTCACAAATGTATGAAAAAAGAAGCTTTACACACCTGTTGCATACATTTTTTTTTCTACTACCGACAATATTGTAAGCGGGTGAATAAGATCATAACGCTCGATGCCAAAAATTTGAAAAAAATACACCACAATTTTACGCCCTATAGTGTCTAAAGTAACTTAGTTCACAACCTAAAGTGTGAAGTAAAATCACATTTCTAATGCAGAAAAAGGGCAGTAAAGGCTTTTATAATATAAAATTTTATACTTGTGGGTGTTTATACATTTTTGCAAAGGAACTACAATTTAGTAAACTTTTTTGTTGCTGTGAATCACTTCACGCAATAGTGTGTGAATCTAATCCGACGTTTGAACAGTGCGTAAAGTGACTACTTCACGCAAGGCAGTAGAAAAAAAAAATCAACTAAAACCAAAAGCAACTGTTTTTATGTCAATCGAGCTAAGATAGGTATATTTTTTTTACTTGACGAAAATCGGTTAATAAATAAGAAAGTTAAGATTTTTTTCAAGAATAGCACCAGCCGCCATCTTTAATTCATCATGGCGGAAAAAGCAAGCCTCCTAGGAGGTGTAACTTTTTTTTACAGAGTACTATTGATGGGTACTATCATCTGTGAAAAAATCAGCTTGATTGCAAAAACTTCTTCTATTTTTGCTAAGTAGATATAGTATATGCGTTCTACGCCCTCCGACGCCTCCGTGACGTCTGCGCATACGCCAACTAGGGCGTCGCGACGCCGTGACGTAATCAGTCATCTGTCTGATGTCATGTCATCTGTCAATGTCACTCATCTGTCAATGTCACTCATCTGTCAATGTCACTCATCTGTCAACGTCAGTGGTCTGTCAATGTCAGTCACCTGTCAATGTCAGTGGTCTGTCAATGTCAGTCAGCTGTCAATGTCATCTAACCCAATCTACCTGAACTACTCCAACTTACCCGAACTGCTTTCTGATGCGCCATCTATAAACCCCGTATAACATTACACCTGTGTGTATTTTTTATATTTCTACATGTATTTATACAGATGAAAAAATACGTGAATTTATACATGCATAAATACATGACGAAATATAAAGAAAATAGACAGATGGGCTTAAGAAAAAAAAATACTAACCTCAAACAATTTTTTATTTAAAAACATACATTTTTTAAGACTCAACTATTTCAAAAAGCGATATTTGGTTTGGTCGTCCTACATCCTTCTGGCCTCTGTATATTATTGAATATTTTCCATCCATAAACTGCTCAATATGATCTTCCAATGATTTGGTGGTACGTTTTGGAAGAAACACTGCCTTATCGTCAAGTTCAATGAGGATGCTTGGTCCGAATTTACTTTGGGTTTTTTTAGCAGAAAATATTGGGTATTTTCTGCCGTCTTGTAATTTCACAAGTGTTTTTTGATCCTTGAAGAGGCAGGTCTCGTTGATTGATTTCAAATCCATATCTAAAAAATATTCTGTAGGTATTGATATTAGTATATAAAAGATTTACTTACTTGTTAAAAAAAAATGTTGTGCAATAATTTTATAATAATTATAATGTTCGCTGTTGACGAGTTCAAACAAGACTGAAGCTCGAGTATCATAAAAACCGATTTAAACCTCAACGTACATACAATAATAATTATTTCAGCAGTGTTTGTTTATCTTACAATGACC